TGATGGCATTCCAGTTGAACTATTTAAAATCATAAAAGATGACGCTGTTCATGTGCTACACTCAATATGCCAGCAAGTTTGAAAATTCAGCAGTGGCCAGAGGACTGGAAAAGATCATTTTAAATCCCAATCCCCAAGAAGGGCAGTGCCAAAGAATGCTCCAACTGCCATACAATTGCATTCCTTTCACATGCTAGCAAGGTTATGCTCAAAATCCTTCAAGGGAGGCTTCAGCAGTATGTGGACCGAGAACTCCCAGAAGTGCAAGCTGGATTTCGAAGGGGCAGAGGAACTAGAGACCAAATTGCTAACATGCGTTGGATTATGAAGAAAGCCAGAGAGTTCCAGAAAAACATCTACTTTTGCTTCATTGACTACGCAAAGGCCTTTGACTGTGTGTACTACAGCAAACTATGGCAAATTCTTAAAGAAATGGGAGTGCCTGACCACCTTATCCATCTTCTGAGAAATCTATATGTGGGACAGGAAGTAACAGTTAGAACTGGATGTGCAACAACTGATTGATTCAAAATTGGGAAAGTGTACGACAAGGCTGTATATTGTCCCTCTGCTTATTTAACTTATAAGCAGAATACATCATGTGCAAGGCAGGAATGGATGAATCCCCAAATTGAATTAAGATTGCAGGAAGAAATATCAACAAGCTCAGATATGCAGATGATACCACTTTGATGGCAGAAAGTGAGGAGGAATTAAAGAACCTCTTAATGAGGGTGAAAGAGGAGAGTGCAAAAAAAAAAAAGGTCTGAAACTCAACATCAAAGAAACTAAGATCCTGGCCATGGGCCCCATCACCTCCTGGGAAATAGAAGGGGAAGATATGGAGGCAGTGACAGATTTGACTTTCTTGGGCTCCGTGATCACTGCAGATGGGGACAGCAGCCACGAAATTAAAAGACGCCTGCTTCTTGGGAGGAAGCGATGACAAACCTAGACAGCATCTTAAAAAGCAGAGACATCACCTTGCTGACAAACGTCCGCATAGTCCAAGCTATGTTTTTTCCAGTAGTGATATATGGAACTGAGAGCTAGACCATAAAGAAGGCTGACCGCCAAAGAATTGATGCTTTTGGATTGTGGTGCTGGAGGAGGCTCTTAAGAGTCCCTTGGATAGCAAAAAGAACAAACCTATCCATTCTGAAGTAAATCAACCCTGAGTGCTCACTGGAAGGACAGATCATGAAGCTGAGGCTCCAATACTTTAGCCATCTCATGAGAAGAGAAGACTCCCTGGAAAAAACCCTGATGTTAGGAAAGTGTGACGGCAGGAGGAGAAGGGGACAACAGAGGACGAGATGATTGGACAGTGTCACTGAAGCTGCCAACATGAATTTGACCCAACTCTGGGAGGCAGTGGAAGACAGAAGGGCCTGGTGCACTCTGGTCCATGGGGTCACGAAGAGTTGGACATGACTTAATGACTAAACAACAACAACAATGAAGTCTGACATGAGAAAATGTTCGAGGACCAAAAAGAATGCCCAGTCCTGGGAAACAGTGCTGGCCCATTTTAAAACTCTTAAACAAAGAAGAAAAGCAGGTCCTACAAATGCATAAACATGGCTATTTCCAGTTGTCTGCCCTCTTACTCAGATTCCTCTTTTCTGTGCTCAGGTGGATTCCCATAACTTGCCACCCTCTGCCTTTTATGGTTTGTTTGATTAAGAAGCCTTTACCCACCTCTCAGCACTTATGTATTCAGCTGGGAGAGAACTGCAGCGCACACCAGCCACACGTACCCCCACTTCGAAGAAATGAAGCCCCAGATTCTCACCCCACACTGTCACACGGGTCCCACCTTCCTTGGGGCCTGTCAAGGGCAGTACCTGAAGCAAAAAGGTGGGGAGAGGATAAAAAGAAATGTGGACCATTCATTAGAGAGCGCAAGGAAGACTTCCATGAACCCTAGCAAAATGTGCATTAAAAACAAAACAGAATAAAACAAAGCGAAAAGGAAGGGCAAATTTTACTCCTGGAAAGGACAGGCAGCTAAGCCTTTAGCTATACTTTCCATATATTCATTTCTATACTGTTTTTATGGAGTTTTTAAATTAATGAACAGCAAGGAGCGTATATGGTGGATAACTAGGATTGTGCCACCTTGCCCTGTGCTTATTATATAAATGTTTCTCTTTTGCATGGGGTCTTACACATGTAAGACAGAATTGAGGATGGCCTGAACTTTGTATTGCAAACAGGGGGGAGGCTGTATAAACAAAAGAGTGTATCCCAAAGTGATATCCAGTCCTTGTATGTGATGCAAAAACAGAGCAGCTAAAATCCCATGCCTGTTATCCGTAAACTCTCCCACAAAATGGATCATTTGCAATGTGCTCCAATGCAGAAAGGCAAAGCAGCCCAGTGCATCGCCACAGCCTCAAGGAAGTTGTTGGAGAACCAGACTGGTGGCGGCAGCAACAGAGATCACACCAGGGACAGAAGTAACACGAAGCTGTTCTCCTGTTTTAAACTTGTTTTTCACCAAGCGTTGGCTGAAAAGCAGTAAGGGGTTACAACAAGGGCAGGCTCACTGAATCACTGAGGATCTGGTAAGGCAACACCAGTGTAAATTCCACCGACGGAATGGTTCTGTTTTATATAAAACTCAGGGACTTTTCAACTTGTTTTTTTCTACCTGGGTGATGCGTGGGTGGGCACAGCGGGCTCCACGCCGGCCTGGTGGCACCCAATTCTGCCGGGAGGCAGGGCAGTGCGGGCGCAAGAGACAGCGGCGTTCAGGGACACACCATCCACACTCATAACGTGGGTCTGACTTGAGACAGAGCCCACAGCTGGAACGCTGGGCAGAGCACTTGTACAAGAGAGCTGGAGAGAAAGGGAAAGGAACAGAAGAGAGGTGAAAATGACGGAGGGGGGGCACTGTTTTTCTTGGCACAAACCTGTCACCTATTACTCACCCAATATAAAATCTTTCCACTGCAGTCTATTACGCAGGAGACTAGAATAAGCTCCCTTTCTGCCACCTGAAACCCGCACCAGAGGGTTAAGGTTTCATTCCCACATTGCTGCCCAGTGTACTAAAACCACCCCAAAGATTTTAGCCTTTGTGTTTCTCAGGGTGATAGACTGGAGGTTGTGGTGGATGGAATAGAGAAGGAAAGAATTCGCTACTTAAGGGTGCAGCAAAACTTTTTTAAAATGGCTTTAACAATGTTTGTTTGTTTGCTTGTTTTATACCCCACCTATCTGTTCAAAATGACCACTCTAGGCGGCTTGACCACTCTAGGCGGCTTTTAAACTTTTTAAACTTTAAACTGTTCTTTTAAACTTTTTAAAAGGTAGGTAAAGGTAGAAGTTCCCCTTGAAAACTAAGTCCAGTTGTGTCCAACTCTAGGGGGCTGGTGCTCATCTCCATTTGTAAGCTGAAGAACCGGCATTTGTCCTCAGATACTTTCTGTTGCCATGTGGCCAGCGTGACTAGGGAACGCTGTTTTACCTTCCCACCGAGGTGGTACCTATTCATCTACTCGCGTTTTCAGGCTTTCAAACTGCTAGGTTGGCAGGAGCTGGGTCCTTTCGATTGACAGCCCAGTGGCTCAGCGGTTTAAAAAGGTAAGCAGTGGGAAATTCAGGCAGAAAGAAGTCTTGGGCCGGCACTGTGGTGTACGAAATGTATGTTGTCACAGTGTATGAATGTATAGTGCCACCATCTACAGTGGTTTGGGGCTGTTTCCAGATAGAGGGCTCCTTATATTAAGAACTGGAAGGCCCTGTGGGTGTATGGCACTTCTACTGCAGCTATTCTATTTCAACTTTCCCTGGACACTGCGAAGGAGAACTCTACCCAACTTGGGTTACACCCATCTCCTCCTAGATCAAATTTCTCTGTTTTTATGGGACCTACTCCTCTCTCAGCTCCCTCCCTGTTCTTAACCATTATACTATTTCTCTGCCTTCTCTACTGACATTCTCTGTACATCTCAACATTTACGTTCGTTGTTGTTTTTCAGTTAATAAATGGGACAATGATGTGACAAAAGTCTTGCCTGGATCCTTTCAGAGTGTTGGATTTTGGGGCCTTGGGAGATCTTTATTCAAGTCCCATTTAGCCCTGAAATTCAAGGGGTGATCTTGGGCCCTTGAGTAAGGTGCTCACAGCATAACCTACCTCACAGGGTGTTTGTGAAGGAAAAAAATGAAAAGGAAGAGAATAACATACACAGCCTTGACATTTTTGGATGAACTAAATAAGAATAAGAATGTTCTGAAACAAAGCACTCATCACAAAGAGCGGAGGAGCAAAATCAATGTCTAGCAGCTTTATCACAGCAGAAAGTAAGATGAGAAGGGAGACACCCAGCCTAGAACAGACATGCACTCTTGCACTCACACTTGGTACCTTTGAAGCCTGGTGGCTTGTCAATGGCAAAGTCTCCATCCCAAATTACATCAAAATCCAGCAGCAGCTCTCCCACTTCTTCACCATCATACCAATACTGAAAAGGAAAAGGAAGGGTCACAGATTACGGAGAAGCAAAGTACATATTGTTCTGTTATAAGGGGGGGATATATAAGACAACTCGCCAGAAACAGAAGACATTCAGTTGCCCTGCCAGTTTAAAAGTGTGAAAGGGATGGGCAGTTTCCCAAACCATACCTGTGCATTCAATTAAAAAACAAACATAAGAAGACTCTCATCTCTTCATAGGGAACTAGGAGCAATACACCATGTTTTCAAGCAAGCCCTGGATCTGTTTTAGATCCAGCAGGTCTTTTTAAAATAACTGGAAGTGCATTCTGGTTTTTTAAAAAATGTCCCAGGGGAGTGAAACCTAGAACAAATTACCCAGAGCCCACCTACTTGAGAACACAAGGAGATTTTAAATTTCAAAAAACTGGAAGATACCAGAAATACCTGAGTCTTGTGGGGGCTGCATGTCATCCACCAACTTTGCTCATCCATGGACTGTCATTTGGCACAACTTTTGGCAACTTATTCTGCCGACACCCTGGATCAACCTAAAGCATTTTACTGCCTGAGCCAGAACTATAAATACTGGCTCCTACTTATTCAAGTCAAGGGTATAGTACCCAGAATCAGCAAAATTAATTTCCAGTATAAAAAAATAAACTCTTGCAAAAAGCACTTCACATTCTTGGAAGTGGAAAAAAATATATAAAAATTAGGAAATGACTATTTTCTGTCATTTTAAGAATCAACCATCTCGTTCTGCCAAATAGCAGGGCCAGTCCTGCTTATGTTCCTTAGTTTTTATACTTTCCAGATAGAAAGGAACTTCTCTTTAACTTCCTAGATCTGGAGATGAATAAATCAATCCTTTCATCCTCACCACTATCCTATATCTTATTTCTTTCAGATGGTATGAGTGGGCGCACACACATACACATATAAAACAGTTGAGAAAAGAGACACACACTCTTATACGATCCCACATATTTTAATAATGTATTATTCACTTACACAGAAATGTAAAGAGGGAGAGAGAAAGAGAGAGCACTAGCAGCCACAATCTAGGCAACAGGTCCTGTGTTATCTAGAGTGTTGCCACCCGGGCCAAGAAGCACAAGGTGCTATAGTGACAAAGAGACAGCGGCACAGTAGCTTTATAAAACAGATTGTGTGTTTAGGTGCTGTCATGACTGGGCCAGGAGCCAAACCATGCTGCCAATGAGGCAGGCTGTTATTTAATTGAGAGCTTGCTGCCCTAGACGTTCCTGCCCCCTTAGATCTTTTAAACATGCTGTTGGTCAGTGTGCTCCCCATTTTTCTCAGTCCTCCTTATTTTTTTGACCTGGTTTTCACTGGACTGCAAACAGAACAGAGTGGTCTTCCAACTAAGCCATCTGTTTGTGTAGCATGTGAGCTAGGAACAAGGACTGCAAATTGCTTTATTTATTTATTTATTTTACTTGGGAGAAGCAAGATGGAGAGGGCTTTTCCTTTGATCAAGTTGGAAAGCAAACAAAAGCCCTATTCAGGCATTAAAGGCTGAAACCATAAAGGGCTGTCATTGTGATAAGGGGGGGGGGAAGAGACACACATACCACCCCCCCACCCCACCTGATTTTTTAAAGCAGACTCTTGCCAGTTCACTGTGAAGGTCTGCAAAGATGCTTGGAAGCACATTCAGCTAAACACGCTTACATTTCTTCTGTGACTGGGAACTCAGAGGGCAAAGCCGCTGAGCCTGGGAACCCTGCAAGCATGTTCTGGGTTAACAAGTGCCTCTGCAGACCTTTCTGGGGAGCACATGAAAATCTGCCTTATTTGTGGGCCAAGGTGGGGTGTGCAAACCCAGGCCATCTCTATATATTTAGTCTTTTATGTGTTCTGGCTTAATGCCTGAAACTGGGATATTTTTTTAAAATAGGGCTGAGAAACCTTTGACCTTTCAGATGTTTTGAAATAGATTTCCCATTATTATTCCTTACCTTTGGCCATAACAACAAGTGCTTCTGGGCCAAATGTTTCCCCATCCCTAGTCTAAAATTCATTCATCAGAAGTACATATAGGAAGTAATAACTCCACACAAAAGTGCTGAAATTGTTTTTACAACCAAAGACCATATCCAAACACACTGCTCAGTACAGAGAAGCTGGTCAACTGCCGACAAGTACAGTATTCCTTGCAATATAATACAAAAACACAATCATTAAGCTCAGACTTTCCATGGGATTTGTTATAATCCATCTATTTCTGGTTGTTGTGGATTTTTCAGGCTCTTTGGCCATGTTCTGAAGGTTGTTCTT